CCCGTTAGATTTATTCAAAGTTATTAAGTGCTCGGAATTGTGTTTACGATCCACCTTATTAAGACTTCGAGGAGAACTTTACAAACAGAACGAACGTACAGCAATGGGTTCACTAGTTTCTCTGATTGTAGCGAATTTATTCATGCATTTCCTAGAAACCAGTGCAATTGTGGTGAACAAGAACACGAGTGGGACAATCGAATGTACATGACACGAAATTACAGAGCATCTCAATAAAATCTGAGAACCATATAGTTAATCGTTAATTTGCAAAATATCAATACATCGTCTTGAACTTCACTGTTCTTTTTGCAAATATCAATTCATGGTCTCGAATTTCATTGTTCATGTATTTTCATACCGATTGCGTTCCGTTTCCGTTCTTTCCTTGTCGATCTTCTGCTGAAATACATTTTATGCCTGAACACCGTTATATACTACTTATATGGATATAAATAATCCACACCACACGATCACAAGATGTGTTTGTCCATCAGAAGTTTGGTTACGACATGTAGATAACATTTTTATTATGATTAAATTAAATAGTTTAGAAGAATTGTTTGAAAACGTAAACAGCATTTCAGATAGCATCAAGCTAACAATGGAAATAAAGTCCAATGACTATAAACTAGCGTTCCTCGATTGTTTGGTTGAACGAAGACATAATAATAAGTTGAAAATAAATCTATTCAGAAGATTAACACATTCTAAGAGATACTTATGCGTATTGTACGAAAGTCACAGTTTTAAAAAGTTTAATTACCGGGAGTATTAATCTCATTACAGATAAGGAAGACCAACAGGCTGAATTTATTGAAGCTTTGTCTACGCTTAGGGATAGCAGTTAATCTAAATAGTTTTCAAAGATTATTACAAATGAAAGAAAAACTAAACTAGACTGTATACCGAAAGATTGGAAGTCCACCGCGGTCATCTCATACCGTAGTGAAACATCGGAAGAAATCAAGAGGATTCTATGTGAGCATGATATAAGTGCATTTTCGGGCTTGTGACACCATAAGATCAGCATTAGCGAAGGTTGAGGATAGATTTCAAAAGGAAGAACAACAGAATGTTGTCCATGAGATCGACTGTCATGCAGCGTATATGGGAGAAACTGCAAGACAATTGAATGTGAAGTCGAAGGAACACAAAACGTGTTTCAAAAATGCTCCCCAATCCTCGATTGATCTAAAGAAACTTGAGAATAGGTAGGCGATAGCGTTACATATGTTGGAAACAGGATACAAGATTAATTTTGAAGGGACCAAAATACTTCAGAAAGGTTTTAACACTCATAACGAAACATTGACAGCAGAAGCGCTATATAAATAGGCACATAAGAACAGCCGGAACAGAAAGGATGGTATTCAACTAGCAACTACTTTGAGATAATCTTTCACAAGTAATTGGGCCCTTTCTCTACATCAAAACTTGTCATCATTTCATCCTCTTCCATATGGACAATGTCGATATTATTCTTGAATTTCATATAGTTTTTAATTCCATACACACACACACAATCATCCATTCATTTATTTTCACACTGTGATCTTTTCATATGATTCGCATATAACTGACTTATGTTGTCCGATTTAATAAGGTCGACATCCAAATATAATCGGATTAGCACAATAAAGATTTGATTTGATTGTTAAGCATTATATATATTTTTCTTTGATGATTTTGATTATTACCCTGGAGAAGTTCAGACAAGTTTGTTGGACGAAACGTTAGAGTTATTGTAAATTTTAATCGCTGAGATTATTTCAAATATAATTTTCAGATATAATGACTTGTCTGTATTTGGTGCTTAATCGATTTCAAACCATTCATCCTAATATTGACGAATATTTGTATAAATTATTCGATTTTATTACACCGAGTATCACTATTACATCAGAACTTAAATGCACGTATAAATTGGCTTTATTGTATACCGACAGAATTAGACAAGACTACTAGACCAATGTAACCTTGTCTCTAAACAAATTAATCAATAAAGAATAGAAAATTATCATCATACCAATGACTGACTGACTATAATCACAGCCCCCAAATGCCCTGGTAAGGCCGAGAGTGGGAAGAGTCAGCTCTCCTTCTTCAAATGCTCTCACATGGCCACGCGTATATAGCCTCTGAGAGTAAAGTCTTACTCACTGCCTTCTCGCACCACATGTGTTGTTTACGAAATTGACAAGACGAAAAGCGAATGTCCGGCATTTTAACCGGGTTGGTGAACGTGGAGTCCACCTAGGAGAGTTGGAAGACCCTCATTCCAAACCAATGGTGCATATGGGCTCCAGCATCCTAAGGGAACAAATGGCGTATGAACCAATTGTTGGTCACCGGTTACCATGGGACTGCATCTCCTTACGTTACTCCACTGCCTTGTGGATCAGACCTTCAGGTCGAAGGCTCCGGGTGTGGCCCCCTAAGAAAACCACCTGCTTCGGTTTAGGCACCTGGGCAGTATCACAGCCCTCACACATATCAAATGAAATTTGTGTGGCGCATATGTATTTGGTGCCTCCTTGTATCAATATCTATGTGTTGAAATAAATAAATAAATACAGAAATACTTTAGAAAATGCTTAGGTTCATAGTTGCTTTTTTTACAATTAACTAACGCGAATAGAAAAAAAACTATCAATGAAATCTTTCCATTATTTTGAATCTACACTAGCTAACTAACTAATGATAATACTAATAACAATAATAATAGTGATATTTATAGATTTAATGTAATGCACAATTCTTAGCTGACTTACACAAGAACTATAAACAATTGGTAGACTAAATCAAATGATTTAGGAATTCATTATAATTATAAAATTTAAAGCCTTACAGAAACAGTGACGAAAATAATAAGACTTGAATATTGTGTTAGTTGTTGTTGGTATAGTTGTGACAACCTCACAAAAATACACATAAGTTTATGTATTAAATAATGACTGTAATAAATAGAATGAGATTCAAACTCGTGATTACATGGTTGAACTCCAAGTAACTCGAGTAAAAAAAAACAGAGACAATTAGATAATATTTTCTAATAGATAGTAATGGGTTATATCATTGTTACAAAGGATTTGCATGATCCCATTGTTGATAATCTCGATTGATTTTCGATCAGTCGTTATTTTATGACATGTCATTTTAGAATAGTCAGATATGTGCAGCATAAGATTTAACACGTGTACATAATTTTAAGTTGCAATATCACATTAACACACCTAAATGACACTGTCAGGGAGAATCCCAGAGTAGTAGATGTATTAATGTTATTAGCGGAAATACAAAAGACATAGAGACATAGAGGATATTATTCATGAAGGAAATATGGACTGCTGAAATAAAAAGGTATATAAAGTAGTTTAGAAAGGTAAAACTTGAAAGAAAACAAAGAGTGAATGCACCTGCACCATTGTAGCTAACAAAGTTATCTAGAACGTATGTTCTATTATGTATAGAAAGTTTCCCTGCCAGAATGATCGGTAGAAAATGTCAAAAATGGAATAAATCGAACCCTTTCTAATCATGATATGAAAATCATACTCTTTGAACAAGTTACTGACTGTCTTAACTTAGTAGCTCAATGAAATAACGTGTTAGGCTTTTTAAGTGAAAGGCAATGGGTCCGAGCACTAGCATGAACACCAGTATTGAGATGAGGTAAATACACCCTATCGGTTAGTTCAAAATAAGAAGAAACGACACGCAATCAGAATCCCATTGCTAGACATAATTTATCTATTTTACTGATGGGTTGTATATTTTTTTTCACTTAGTGAACAAATCATAATGAAACACCAGATTAAATGCTAAGTATATACATAAACTCTCCACTATTTTCAGAAAGTATGAAACGATATTTTGTGCTCATAGTAGTGAAATGTCGAGCACACTGAAAATAAAAGGACAATTAAGTGTAAAGTTCCATATTGAAAGACAAAAACGTCAACATGCTTTTTGTGGACAGATTACCATGCAAATTGCAAACATGAAACGCAAACATACAATAAAATCAACAAGATTAAAAGTATTTTAATCACTAACCTGTAGCATTTAATCACTAAATCTAGATCAATATTATATGAATCAGCAAATGGTTTCCCATTATCCAGTGTTTCCAAAGACTAAAACAATAAGGAGATTGGATAGAAATAAACATATGTAATGGATATTGGTTACATGAATAAAATAAGAAATTAACTAACCATAGAATATGCACATTCAAGTACTTCGACCAACGTAGAGGTTCGGTGTCGAAGTTTACTAGTTCACATTTACACACTTTAAAATAACAGGGAAAGAAAAAGAACAGTATTGCTGAGAAAACAAGACTGACTGACTGACGGAAAAACCTGATTGTCTGACCAGGTTTTTCACATCCAAGAGCTTGCTTATTTTCTTGAGAAATTATTATGATTAGACCATGTGATCTCTTCCTGTATAACCTATCTATCAGTGATTTATTCATCTTGTCAACAACCTAAACGAGCTTAATGAAATCAAAACACCATATCCAGAACAGAAGAAGAAATAGGTAAACTCAGTAATGTCCAGAACCTGGAAGCTGAAGAATGAAAATATCTGCTCCAGTCTGATCAAGTCATGACATTTACGATCTTTAATTATTACTGTCATTTTTACAATAACGAAATATCTCATTGCACATAGCACATAATACTGAACTGCCTTGTTTGTTTATCGATTAACTTTTAGATTATGTGAGTCTTTAGAAAATTAGTAAATAAACTATCAGAAGAAGCATCCAATGAAAAACTATGATATAAATGCATTTTCGATTAACCATGGTGCATTTTAGAAATACTGCTCATTCACCATCAATAAATTCGTAAGGAAAATCACAAGTAACATATAAATTTTAGTACATTCAAAAATTTGAAGGCTGGGAACAGAAATCAATTTGTTTCAACTCCATTCAACTGTACACAGTAACTTGAAAAGTTATTGCTAAGTGTACAAACGCTTACAGCCAAATAAACTCTGTCACGTTCAATAAGATCAGCCAGTTTGTGAAGTAATACACCACGATGTGATGCATCCATGGTACGCCACTCAGAACCAAATTCGAAGGCTTTACGAGCTGCTTTAACTGCTTTATCTATGTCAACCTGTATGAAGAACGAAACGTAGAGAAGTAAAAGTTTAGTAATTAAAAGCAAAAGTATAATCATCACTTTAACATTAACACTAGTGCTTATAAATACATGTTTATAGGTATCAATGCCAAGCTTGTACTTGATAGCTTAAAATAAATTGAGTATTGGGTAGAAAGTTAGTCGTAAATATATTTTTGTTATATCCCAATGTCAGAAATGTAATTTTTCTATTCATTTAGATATATCAAATATATATTTATTATAAATACTTGGTTAATTAAGGCCCAATTAATGAACCTTTACAATAAGCTAATAAAATTAAAATAACGTCATCATAGAACAATATTTTTCCAAAATAATACATCAGACAGTTTAGAAATAAACTGTATTCAATAAGTCTTTCTAACACTGCATAAATTAAAAATTTGAGAGATTATAAACCATTTACACCAGAATTGAGAAAAAGCATAATATCAAGATGAGTGGTTGAAAGCAATTTTATAACCTGCAAGCAAAAACTGGTCACCATAACAAAAAATCTAAATGTAGTAAATACATAACTAGTACGTCGATCAATCTTACGCAGTAGTCGTGGCATAAAAAACACTAGGGTTAACAACCGAATCAAAAGCTCAACTCCGGTATAAAGGTTTATATTCAAAGGACTACACAAGAACATACACTAGGGCTAGTGAAGGGCAATGAAATAAATAAAGTGTCACTTCATTACAATTAAAGGTTTTATGTAGTCGCTATCTGTTAAAAACATCAAGTAACACTGACAAGTTAATAAGCTGAAAAGTAGCAGATATATATATATATATATATATATATATATATATATATATATATATATATATATCATGAACAACGTATCTATCATCTATTAATAGAAATCGAGCTGGTACGCCCGATAGTCCGACGTTTTAACCAGGTTGGTAAATACGGAGGATCCAACTAGGGGAATTGGAAAACCCTGGTTCCAAACCAATGGTACACATGGGTTCCAGTATCCTGAGGGAACAAATGGTGTATGAACCAATTATTGGTCACTGGTTATCATGGGACTGCACCTCCTAACGTTGCCTCACTGCCTTGTGGACCAGACCTTTAGGTCGAAGGGTCCGAATGTGGCCCCCTAAGAAAACCACCCGGTGAAGTCTGGGAACCCGGGCAGTATCACAGCCCACATAACAATCAAGTGACTTGAGTGGCACATATGTATTCGGTGCCCCTTTGTGCCAATATTTATGTTCAAATAAATAAATAAATATGAAGGTCGTCATTTTTATAAAAGGATGGTTATAACCGAATGGAATTAGATGTCATGCTGAAAGAAATACTTTTTTCATTAACCAAGGATTAGCGACGGGCAGAATGGTTATATATATTATAGATACCGTTTATATAAGTCATATAACTTAACATGATTAGTGATCATTCGCCAAGATATATGCACTCATTAGTTCAAAAAGTTTAAAAATGAAAAATTCTGAAATACTAAAGGTAGACAAGCGTTACCTTATCACCTTCCGAAACTTGACATATTACTTTACCAGTTGCTGGATTTATAGTGTTGAAGGTTTTTCCACTAGATGACTCAACCCACTCATTGTTGATGAAAATCTAATTTAAACTTCAGGTTACACTTCATAAATCAAAATATACCGAGTTTCGCTTTATTTCTGGCTTCAAAATAGGCTCAACTGTAGTACCCAAGAATTTACGTATATTCTTAGTAATTGCCTGAGCTCCCAAAATTTTTGACCCGGAATACAGGAAGAACATTTTAAGCTCCCTTCTGTTATACGATTGTTAGAACCTGGAAAAAATAAACTTCATTGTTAGTTAGAACAGTAGCTGGTTATCAGTCATACGTAACATTATCTTAAAAGCTTCCGATAGTTTAAACTACCACAATTGTGAAATAATTTAAACTATGTCAGGTTGTGATACTAGTGTCTATAGTAATCTGGATGACTGAAATTATTATTCCGGAGATTACACATTACCCGTACATGTGCGGTTTAGTCATTTTTGTAGTTGTTCATTTTATATACATTGGTGTGAAGCCCTATCAGATGCTTGGGAGTGACTTCGGAGTAAATCCCTAAGTGAGATCTAAATATGCAGCGGTCTAAGTCTAGCCTTGTGATATGTTGTGTGTTGTAAGAGCATGCTGCTCAGCTGAGCAGCGTACGCTTACAAGCACATATACATGTGAGGGGATTTAAAGAATAGAACAAGATGGAAAGTTAGTCAACAACACATTAAGCACTTAGAGATGCACCTACACCCTGCGGTAAAAGCGACAAATCATAATCACTTAAGCATGAGATTAGATATTCGGCTCAATAGCATTACCTGCAGTTAGGGGATGAAGGTCAAACACCCGTAAAACTATTGGTGCTTTAGCCTCGGTGTTTATATACCCATCCCGAAGCGGTAAGTTCAAGATGATCAAACTTAAATGTTGTAAAAATGTTCATTGCCCATAATTTTTTTCAATCATGTTACTTTTCCAGAAGCATAAACAACCAACCAGGATTCCTCACCCAACGCTGTTTTCAGGTCTTATTTTCAGTTACTCTCAAGTTCTGTTCACTCTTTTGATATCTACTTCCGATTCCCGGCGGAATGTGCCTTTTCTCCTTTTGCCCAGAAAATTCCAACTCAGGACATGTCTCGTGGTGTAGTTTGAGGATTTCCAAAAAGTGTGTTTCGTATAACAATAGCGTCTTTTTCTGATTTTCTCTTCAGCTGGAAGTTGGTTTGTTCTGTTACAATAGGCTATTGTCGATGGTGTCTACCCAACAGATATCTTGCGTAAGCATCTGTTCCTAAATATTTGTACCTTTTTGATGATGATTGTGAGAAATCCTCAAGATTCACCCATATACAATTTAACTGTCTTGACATTCGTATTGAAAATTCTGTCTCTATTGTTGGTTGGCAGTTGTTTTGAGTTCAATGTATTATTCAACTGTGAGAATGCTGCCCTTGCTTTGCCAATCCATACCTTTACAGCTGCATCAGATCCTCCTTGTTTATCGATGATTCTACCCAGGTGTGTGAAAGTTCCCACCTCTACCAGGACTTCTCTATCAAACGCGCCTTAGTTGTTGCTAGTTGTGCTGCATTATATGATCTTCCTTTACACTTGTATATGTTGAAACGAACCACTGCAGAGACTAATTCTACACTGGATGAGTTCACTTACATTTGATATAGAAGGGCTAGTTCATCTCAAAAGTCTACATCGTCTAGCCTCATACAGGGTATACATGGCATTCCGTGTTTTCCCCCGACATGTGGAGGTTTCCTTAATTCAGTTAACCATCGGAAAAAAAGAGGGATGACGAGAGTAAGCAGCCTTGTCTGACACTAGTCTTGCCTCGGAACGCGTCTGTTAGATGTCCTCTATGCATGACTTTGCATTGTAGTCTATCGTAAGAATTCCGTATTACGTTGACAATGGTGTGGTGAAAGGTTTTATAAGGTTTTCCTCTCCACTCAGTCAAATGCATACTCATAGTCAAGGAAGTTGTATTGTGACGAGTTCCGTTCACGATTCGGTCATAACTTGATCGATCCTTGGGGTATCCTTCTTGTTTATCTCGAAACTGAGCGTCTACCGAATCTCTCACTCGGTTCAACAACACTCTGTTAAAAGCTTCACCTAGTGCTGATAGCAGTTTGGTCTCCTCATAGTTCCCACACTTACCAAGGGCCTTCAATATCTTGGTAGGGTATCCTTCCTTCAGACCTGCTGTTACTTGTTCTTCTATAGTGGTACTGGATCTCAACAACACGATTCTTGAAGCCGAATGCAGGATAAGTTTCAAACTTATAGAGAAGGTCAGAGACGGTATACGCCTGAATACTTAATCGGTATGGCTCGGCTTGACCACGCAGGAGTGGTCATCATGTAACCTACTCCTCTTCTTATCAAATATATCATTTTATGCTCAGACGAAGTGTGTCCTTCAGAGGTATTAAACATAATAATGTCAACTATAACGATAGGAGAAGTCGGTATAGAAAATGATGTGACTTCCACTTAAGATATTATAGATTAGGTAGTCATATCATGACGAATCTACGATTTTGGAATAAGGTCTATTATTATGGTACTAATACCAAATTAGACTATAGTACAACGGTAATGGGTCCGACTAAATTTGAAAGTAGTAACATTTTTTAATGTGATTAAGAAATTTTTCGAGTTGTTCTTTTTTAGACTGTATTTTACTGAGATCATCATCCTATCTTATATATCGGGTACATTTTACTACATGAAGACAATTTTGACGAACATTTACCAGTTTTTCATGCATATCGTGGACTTCGTTTCCTACATATCTTATATAAGCCCCCAGTAATTGAAAATGACGCGTCTTTATCTCTGGATTATACTAATTAAAATATTAACATTTAAGTGGCGCTACTCTCTCATGTAATAACTGAACAACTTATTTTTGAAAAAAATTATATACTCATAGTCTTTGATCCTAGTATTAACCCGGTCAATACTTAATAAGAACTATGTACTCAGATATCCGTTTGTTACCAAACTATCTAGCCAAAATTAATGGTAGATTTAGCCAATTAGCACCCCTAACACATAGGTGAGGTCTTAATACTGATAAAAATGTTGAACGAATCACCAAAGCTGAATGTATTTTAAAGTTTGTGCCTGAAAAAGTGACGGAAAGAATGGTGCCACCTTACAATGCAGTTTCATACAGTCTCCCTGATCACACACACTAAAATAAGGGGTATTTGCCTTAGAGCATGGGGTATGGTGAATGTCATCTGCCAAGTCATCCAACTTAGAAAAAAAGTCGGATAGATCGATATGCCCTGTTCTGTTTAAGTTTAGCTGTTGTAATGACGTTAAACAATTTATTAATTCGAGCAAAAGCATTAACTCATTAATTCCATACAAGAGCACAAAAGTCACTCCAGACCTAAAGCCCTGTCATCGTCGTGTAAGAAGACGTGAAGCGAAAGGATTACATGATGGTGTTATAGTAAGTAACGTTCTATAGACAGTTTTCAACACAGTAAATAGGATAAAGCGCACGAACAATAAGCATTATATCACTGCACAACTGATAGATCACTCTGTAGATCTAGATGAGTCTGCGGATCAGAAAACGTCGGATAAGATACGGATTCCAACTGTCACCAAAAAGCACAACAACATTTCTATTTTCGGCTGTTTGAGCAGTAAAGTACATAAAAGTGAACCATGTGACGACACTAGTTTATCTAAACGTACTCCACACGATGGCTCAACTGAACTTGAATTAATCTGAAAAAGACAGAAACTCGACAGCTCTGATAAAAAAGAATGGGGAGATAAAGTCCACGATACAGAATAGGGAATTACGCAAGACTGAACCCAACTGTCATTTCGGTCATCCGACAACAATGAAGAGGTTCTCCTCATTAATGTCACATAACTTGCCGTCAACACCTCTAAATTTCAAAACTTATCGTAGGCCTGAGTGTAACGACTCCTTTTATACGCAGACCAATAAAAACTATCAGAGTACCGATCAATCCACTCACCCCATAAAGCCTGAAACCGTTAATAAGCATGGTGATAATAGGTTTCGTACCCCACAGCTATATTCCTCAAGGTCACAATTGTAATTACTCTGAGTAAGAGAGCGTTCTATATGTTTTAGTAACAACCCACTACACAAGAACGGCTCCCGTATATAATAACAGTCGTGACTACTTCCATTCAAGTGCAGTAGATCCTTCTCATGTTCACACTAACGCAAATAGCAATAACAGAGGCTACGAATTTAACCATCAAGACTATTTTGCAAATGACAGTACACTTCACAGTCGGCCTGCACCAGATTTTTTGGAACAGAGCTCCTAGTGGCACCTCTCTTGAAGCATATAGCCCAATTCATTTCAAACCACATGCAGAACATTAACTTGCTTACCCCGTACGGTTTCGATCAGAGAGTACTACCACCCTTTCCTCATTTGATATATCTGTAGTGACATTGGACCATAACCACACTATCCTCAAAGCTGAATACGAGATTACTCGGAAAATAGGTATTCAATATTTAACGCGAAGAAATACCTAACGATGGAGAAGGCGCGAATAATGAGTTGAATGAATTAGAGTTGATCGAACGGCATGGCTCGGCCATGCAGGCGTGGTCTCTGCTGAATGTTACCTTATATCTTCTATTCATACTAAATATATTGTTCTTTCTCTAGCCTAACCTTGTTCTACATCATGTATTGGTAATTGATACGATACAGTGAGTTGGTGTAGTCGATGGTGTGACTTCCACGTAAGATCTCATAGATTAAGCAGTCATATCATGACAAGTCTACAGATTTAGGATTAGGTCTATTATTAGAGCAGTACTAATAACATAGTAGACCACAATTCTACATTGGTGAGCCCAACTAAAGAAACGCAACCTATTATTGCTAACACCTTAACCTTCTCAATCGGTTTTTTATTTTTGTAAACCCAGTATTCTAATAGTCCTTTGATTAATGGTCACATATATTATCGTAATGTTATATCTATTAGTTCACATAACTTACTAGCTCAATCGATAATAAAAGTTGATCATCTATATCAACTAATTAGCTTTGATGGTTTGTTAACAAGCTTTAATAGCATTTACCTACTTCAGCGACATAAACTTGTTTAAACATCAAGCTCT